GAAAACAGAAGGACTAGACATTCGACTGTAGAATCCGATAGGTCCAATGCTCCACAGAGTCCCGAGAGGAACTCGAGAGCATCGATGGGCACTGCGCAAGGCGACGGTCAGGACGTACCTCCGTCCGAACACGGAGGGGCTGGCGAATCCAGCACCTCTCCGAGGCGCCAAGGACATAGTGCTTCAGCGCCACGAGATACGAACAACGCTTCTTACATGGAGGTACAAGATGATTTTGGAGCCGGTCTGAGTCCCGGGCGTCACTTGGATGGTGTTCGAACCGCGAGCTCTACCACGGAAGGAAGGGAAGAGCCAACGGCGAGCGCAAGCTGGACACAGAACCGGTGAGTCATGGAGCACAGCGATGCGGCGTCGCGACAAGAGCTTGCTCAGCGAGGTTCCGATGCGGGCCATAGCCCTCAACTCATGCCAAGCGGAACGTTTAGTGCCCGAGGTGAGCCTTGCGTAGCTTCTCGTGTCTGCTCTTTCACGAGCTAAACTGTCGTCGTCATCCTCAGACGAATCGAGCCACGTCAAGATCATGCTCGCAACCGACAATCAGTGAGTATGTGTATGCTAGTGGATGATCATTGTGCGTTCTCACCACCCTTTCCGCTATCGCGACAGCGTTGGATACCTGGAAAAAGATCCGATTCGCGGTCAAGACTCGCTCAACACCTTCCGCGAGATTCTTCAGCTGGCTCAGCAGCACGATGTGGGTTCAGAAGGACGCGGCATGCGCATCTAGCTGTCCATGACTCATATCGCGCGCACTGCTCATGCTCAGGTCGACTTCATACTGCTGGGTGGTGACTTGTTTCACGAAAATAAGCCCTCCAGAGCGACGCTACATGGCGTCATGGCCTCTCTACGAGAGTACACTCTGGGGGACAAGCCAGTGAGCATAGAGTTGCTCAGTGATCCCTTCGACGGCAAGGCAGATGGGTATAGGTACGTGGAAGCGGCGGTGTGGGTCTGTTGGCGCCTTGGTATGACGATTGACTGTGCCAAGCTTGCTGTGTTCAGCTTTCCAGCGGTCAATTACGAGGACTCTAACTTGAACGTGGCAATCCCCGTCTTCTCCATACACGGCAACCACGACGACCCGCAAGGTGTTGGTGTGGTGCGTAGTGGCGGAACAGGCCAGTGCCACTCACGCTGGGAGTACTGACACTGGCCAACTGCTCGCAGGAGGGTGCTCTATCCGCGTTGGATGTTCTCTCAGTGGCTGGTTTGATCAATTACTTTGGCAAGGTGGAGTTGCCCAGCACTGATGGAACGGCCGGGCGAAGCGCTGCACAAGCGAACGACCCCCTCATGGAGGATGGAATACGTATTCGACCAGTACTTCTGCAGAAAGGCGGCACAAGGATTGCACTGTACGGCATGGGCAACGTAAAGGATGATAGGATGGGATACGAGCTGCGAGCGAATCGAGTGCGCATGTATCGACCTGCCGAGGAACCTCTGAGCTGGTTCAATATCTTGGCCGTGCACCAAAAT